AATGTGGGTGTACGTCCTTTTCACATGCAGGGAGCTAGGAGCGGGACAAGTTGTTTTTTTTTTTTTAATTAAAATATTTTTAAAGGAAAATAAGACATGAATCGGGAGCAGTGAGACTGCTTTAACTCTTCCAGGCTGCAGACTGAAAGAAAGCAGGCAGGAATGCTTCTGTCCTCCACGCCCACCGCCCAGACTACTTAAGCCTATTTTAAGTAGTTAAATGATTGTTAAAGATCTACTATGGTACTAAGCCCAAGTCTTACTTGCAGGAAAAAAAAAAAATCAGGAAAAGAAAATAAGATTCAATGACTCGTGTTTTAACAAAAGCCTGCATCTTAAATTCAACACGAACACACTGAAGAAATCGAGAGGCAAGTTTTGGGGTCCTGTTTAGCCTTTAGGTGCCTAGGCCTATATCCTCTGTGATCCAGCAAAGCCTTCCCTTCCCCCAGAAGTGACCTGTAAGAATTCTAGGTCCAGGGACACTTACCAGGCCTCTTGTGTCCACACAGGAGTCTGGATTTGGTCTCTGAAGGGTCTACATTTGAGCAGGAGAGGTGGCTCAGCCGGCAGAGGCCTTTGCAGAGAGGCCTGAGGACCTGACTTGGATCCCAGGGGCCTGCATGAAGACAGAGGGAGAGAACTGAGTCCAGAGACCACACACACTTCTGCACATGACAATTACTTAAGAAGATTCTAAGTCATGAGGAAAGGCACCAAGGCCATCTTGGGATCCTTTTCTACTGTGTGTAGGAATTGCTTAGGATTTCTGTTTCTCCAGAGAAGGTGTGGAATCTCTGATTGGAGCGTTCATTGAATTTTCCGTGTCTTCACAGTCAATAAGGTTTGGAGCCTGGGAGAACAGAAAGCAGCAGGCATAGTTTACTTCTGAGTTTGCACCACACTTGTGAAAATGAGAAGATTCGCCTTCTCTTTGCACAGATTTTTTTTTTTTTTTTTTTAAGCACCAGAAATGAAACTCAAAGTAATTTGGTAAGCTGTGTTGTTGGGTCCTCAGACAGCTCCGAAGTTATCTGTCTACATCTCAGAGGGAGGAGGATCCTTGTTAAGAAGAAAATAACAAAAACAAATGAAATGTCAGTTTTCTTCCTGCAAGGACTCCAGGACTTCCCATCTCCCCTGACACGTATCTAGATCTTTCCAAATTTTCGTAAAGACGTAAGATGAAATATAACAGCTCAGAAGGCAAAGACAACATTGCAGACTCTTCCACAGCGAATACCCCCCCCCCCCCCCCGCCTGCGCCTGACGATTGGGAATCCTTCAAGGAATTTTAAGCGAAAAAGCCTGGCTGAGGTGGGGCGGGGGCTGTTTGGGTCCGATCAGCCTGCCCCCAGTGTGTGGCATGTTACACAAGGCGCACGGGGAGTCACAACCGCACACAAGTTAGTAAGAACGAGCTTTGATTTGGCAAAATGAATTTTAATTTTAATTTCTGAAGACTCCTCTGGAAAGGACGACTCCCCTGTCCTTAAAGGGATGGAGGCTGTCGGGGATTCGCTCTGGGAACGCAGTGTGAAGCCGAGGAAGAAATAGCAGGGAAATATTTGGGACTTCAAAAAGCGTTGTGACATTCATATTTATAGTCTCTCTCTCTCTCTCTCTCTCTCTTTCTCTCTCTCTCTCTCATTTCTGATTACGCTCTGTGCCAAGGGCAGAGCACACAGTAGGCCTGTGGCAGGTGCAGAATAAATGATGTTAAGGTTTTTTGCACGGGGTTCGGAGCCACGTTTGTACCTTCTTTCTTTTGGTTAGCCACGTGCCCTGTGTGTGTGTGTGTGTGTGTGTGTGTGTGTGTGTGTGGTGGGTTGTAGGAGCGACCTTTCTTCTAAACGAGGTTTCTTAGATGGGGTAAATCTGTCTAAGGGTGTTTTGGATACACCTGCCTGCCCGGGCGTCCTGAGCAAAGAAAGGCATCTTTCTTTCCCGTGTGGTCTGACAGAGCGCAGAGGGACAGCCAGAACCTGTGCCCTGGAGCCAGCGGCCTAAGCAGGGCGGGGTCGCGCAAGAGGTCAAGGTCGGCCGAGAGGCAGCAATTGATCTGGCTGGGAACGCGAGACACGGAGCGCAGCAAGACTAAAGGGGGAGCTGTGAGACCAGACATTAACAGCTTTCAGCGCAAATGATGCCGTGCCAGACGGGCAGAGGGAAAAGGAGGAGACTGGAGTGGCAGCTGGGATCGCTCGCTGCCTGCGCCCGACAGCCTCCTGGGAGAGGAGGAGGAGGAGGCGCAGGCCCGGCAGGGCGGCCTCTCGCCGGCGGCCGCGAGGTGGAGCGCGCGCTGGCGACACATCAGGTCCTGCACTCGGCCATCGGCGCGCGCGCCATCCCGCCGTCGGGGTAGCGCGCGGTCCGGGGAGGACCCGCTCGGGGTCGGTCCGGGTTGGGCCGCCGCTTCCCGCTGCCCCTTCCCGGGTCCCATCCGTGCTGGAGCAGGCAGCTGCGTATTTTTGGAGCGAGCTCCTCCTCCTCGTCGGTCCTGGGCCCCTGGCCGGGTCCCCCTTCCCTGTGGCCATCTCCCCCAGAAGGTGAAGGCCACGTGTTTGAATTTCGCGCCCCTGGTGGCAGGCTGCCGCTGGCACACCGCATTTTTTTTTTTTTTTTTTTTTAAGTCCAGACTTGTCCCTGACGTGCTGTGTGTCTTTGGGCAAAGTCCTATCCCTCTCTGGCCTCCCTTCCCATCTGCGGGCCTAAGAAACAGACTAGTTGATCTTTCAACTTGAAGCAGGGCTGTGCGGCTAGGTCCCGTTTGTGGATTTCTCGGGAGGTTTATTAAAGGGTGGGTGTGGGCTAATTTTTTTCCTACTCTGGCCACTTTCCTGGAAATACATATATATATATATTTTCCGGTGGGGCGGGATGGGTCGAGGGGAGACGCTCCCAGACTTTGGCCCACGCGCACTGTGTGTGTGGTGGTGGTGGCGGCCAGCTGCACGCGGCCTGCCCGGCCTGTGCAAGGAGGTGCAGGTCCGCCTAACCCTGCGTCACCGCGGCTAAGCCTCGCGCCGGTCCGCGGACCTTGCAACCCGCAGAGCTGGAGACTGCAAGCCGGGCCACACCGGGCGCTGATGATCCAGAGTCAAGTGGGAAGGAAAGAGAGAGCCTCTGGCCTTGCCCCCAGTACTGCGTGCTCCCTGGGTGCTGCGGCCCCACCCAGGGCTTGCCAGGATGAACAAAAAGCCCAGGTGCCCCCTGAGGAACAGGCCCCGGGAGAGGCGCCTCGCCTGGAGGCCTCGCAGCCTCGCCGGTCCCTGGGCTGAAGCCGGGGCGCCGGGCCCGGGGCGGGGTGAGGCCGGTGCAGCCAGGCTCCCGCAGAGCTCAGCCCCAGCCAGGCCCCGACCCGCCCTGGCCGCCGGGGGCGGGGGCGGGGGCGGGGTGGAGGAGGAAAGGGGTCCAGCCGCCTGGCGCGCCCAGAGAGGCCAGGTTAGCCAGCCGACCCAGCTGGCCTCCTGGAGGAGAGCGCCGGGAGGGGGCGGCGCCTGGGGGACTGCAGCCCGGCCTTGTCCCCGGGGCCACGGGCAGGCCCCCACAACTCCCCCTGTCCTCGCCCGCTGGAGATCAAACGGCTGACAAGGCGGCTCTGTCCTTCCCGGTCGGACAAGCAATTTCAAGTCCGATCCCGGGCGGTGGAGGAGGGGGCCCCGACTTCCAGGTTGCAGAGATTTCACCGAGGGAATTGGGGGTGGGGGGCGCCTCGGCGAGTCACCCTCCCGGGCAGCGCTGGCCACGCCCACTCCTGGGTCTGCGGGTGCGAGTCTTCTCCCACGTGGAGTGGCCCTGTCCCTCTGGCGCGTGCTTTCCAAGGAGACGAGGGTGTGGGGGCGGGGCGGGGCTTGACCCCCAGGAGTTCATGGGACCCAGAAAGGCGAAGATTCCTCCTGGACCGGGATTCCAACAAGATGGGGTCCCCAGTGGGCCCTCCGAGCATCTTTCATTTTGTTGTCTAAGGGGAGCAAACCCCCACGGTTTACAGGGAAATACTTTTTGGAAGTTTCTACAAAACGGCCCCCCACCCCAAAATAAGTCCAACCAACTGTAACTACTTTTCCCGGGAGCGAAGTGAATCGGTTGTTATCTCTCTCCCCAGCCTACCCCCCTCCTCCGACTCCCAGCCCTCCTTCTCGGGTGTTAGAGTGGGTGGGTTTAGACATCCTCGGACTCAGTGGACCTCAGTCACTCACGGAGCACTCCGCCCCCTTCCTCAGGGGGTCCTGCTCCCGGGAGGGGAGAGGGGACAAAGATTGTATTTTATTTGCCCCCTCCCTTCCCCTCCCCCCCGCGCTTCTGCGCAGCCCCGGTGCTCAGGGAGGAGAGCAGCTCACAAACCCAGCAGTTCGCACGTGTGGCCAGCCCGGGGTGCGGGTGTGCGCACTGGCGAGTGTGTGTGAGTGCGCGCGCGCGTGTCTCGGTGTGTGCTTTCTTGTTCTCTTCCAGGGTACAATGTTAAAAAGCCACCGCTAGTCGCCCCCAGTGCTCCGACTCTCTGGGTCTTTTTGTCTCTAGAGCAGATTAAACGTCACGTCCGCACTTGAACTTGAATTTTATCCCATTGTACAGAGGCAGCCCCAGCCACAGAGAGACCGAGAGCTCCCGGAGAACCCGGACTCCGCCATCTTCACGTTGCAATCTATAGCTCCCGTCCACGCCCGCACCGACCCGGGCGCACTGGGCGAGCCGCCCGGCGGCCCCGCTCCCCCTGGGCCCGCGGCGCCGGGCAGCGCTGGGGAGCGCGCGCGGGGACCCGCAGCCCCTCCGGCCGGCGCCAGCCTGCCAGGTGACCCGGGAAGGAGCCGCTCCCGGAGTCCCCCAGAGCCTCGGAGGGGTCAGCCTCCGAGAAAGAAAAAAAGCAGGCAGCGCGCAGAAACCCCAGAAAGAGCCGAACCCAGGCAGTTTTTCATTGCTTTCGGGTTTTTGAGGGGGCGGGGTGAGGGGGGTACGAAACAAGTCCCCAAGTTTTCTTTGCTTTTTTTTTTTTTCCTTCGCTTCTTTTTTGAAATTTGTTTGCATTTTCCTCCCCCCCTCCCCTTGGGTGGAAGTGCGCGTTTCACCTACCAGACCCCGAAAGAAAAGTGTCAGAGGCCGGTGCAAAACCCGGCGTAACTTCAAGAAGACATTTACAAGTCTAAGAGGCCAAGCACTTTGAAGAAGTGTGAGAGATATTTTTCATCCAAAAGAATATATTTTTTAAAGAAACCGGCCAGCCCGCGGCGAGCAGCAGCAGTTTTAGAATTTATTTTAGCCTTTTTCTATTTGAGACCAAGTCATCTTCCTGCCTTTTTCTTTTTTTCTTTTTGCAAAAACAAAAACAAAAACACAGCCCAGAAGAAAGAGCAAAATAAAGACGAAGAAGAAGAGGAGGAGGAGGAAGAGAGGAAGGGCAGAGGCACCAACCCGGGCGGAGGAGGAGGCGCGGCGGCTGCGGCGGCGGCTCGGACCCCCTCCCCGGCCCGCATCTGTGCAGCTCTCCGGGCGATGCCAGAATAGATGCCGGGGCAATGTCCCGCCGCAAACAGGGCAACCCGCAGCACTTGTCCCAGCGGGAACTCCTCACGCGTAAGTGTCTGCCGCGCGCGCCAGGGGCCGGCGGCCAGGGCTCTGGGTGCCCGGGGCTGGGGACACCGAGCCGGGCGCGGCGGCTGGTCGTGGGGCCCTGGGAAAGTTTCTGGGCAGCCGAGGTCGGCCGCCCGCCGCGGGCTCCGGGCCGGGGAGGGGGCGCGCGGGCTTGGCGGGCGGCTGGCTGTGCGCGCCGAGCCGGGCTGGACGCTCGGCCCTCCAAGCGGCGTGTGTGGCGGCGGCGGCGCTGGTGGCGGGGTTTGGAGAGGAGGGGGAGGGGGCCGGGGAGCGGAGGGGGAGGGGGAGCCGGGAAAAGTTGGCGAGCGCGTGGGTCCGCGCTCGGAGAAGCGGGCCGACCGGGCCCCGGGTGCGCCCTGGACCCGGGGAGCCGCAGGGCGAGGGGGTGGCCGCGGGCCTCGGTACCCGGCCGCTGCTCCCCGCCAGGCAGGGCGCCGACCACGCCGGTGCACGGATTCCGAAGCCGCCGTCCCCTCCCCTCCTTTCGCTATTTGCAAAAGAATCCAGCTGCGCAGCTGTTTGCGGGGCTGGAGCACCCCCTCCTCATTTCTCCACCTCCGTCTCCTGGGACGGTCTTGTCTTCTTCCCCCCCAACTCCAAAAAAAAAGTGTGGGGGGAGGATTTGTGTTGGTGAAAAAAAAATCCCCACCACGAGTCAAAAAGAAAAAAAAAAGATAGTCTTCAGTGGGAAAAGAGGGATGCTCGTATAACAGTAAAAATAAAGAGAGAAAAAGGCAGCGGAAAGGAAGGGGAGAAAATACCTATTATCCTCTCATCCAGCTTTCTAGCTCAGTATCTTTCATCTTCCCCATCTAAATAAACAAGGCAGGTCGCGGTGCAAACCCGCCGGCTTTCGAGCGAGCGCCGGGGTCTGGCGAAGCCAAGCGGCAGGGCAGGCACGCCGCAGCTTCCACCGCCCCAGCTGGGTTCCTTTAGGAGAGGAACCGCCAGCGCGAGCCGCGCAGGTACGCTGTTCTCCGGGAGCCGCCGGGTCCCCGCGCTGCCACCGGCGAGGTCGGCTGGCGGAGCTCCGGAGCCGGCCCCGGCCGCAAGACCGCGCGAGTTCCTCCCCGCGCTTATTTGGGTCTCGGTTGCTTTTTTTTTTTTTTTTAAATTATTAAAAAAAATTTTTTTTATTGCAATAGAAATAAAATTTCCTCTGGGTGCCATCGAGACCCCGGGCAGGTTGTAATCTTGAAAGATTCCGCTCAGCTCGCTGCGCTGGGGCTGGAGAAGGCTGTGAATGACGGCCGCCGCCGAGGACTGGCGGCCCTGCGGTCGAGAGCCGAATATTTATGTTATATTTTAAAGAATTTAAATAAATAAATAAATATATAAAGGGGCTCTCCCCTCCCCTCCAAGCCAGCACAGGAGCCATCTGCTCGAAGCTACTGCTGTTCCCATCTCTCCTTTGTTACAGCAGACGCGTTAGTAAGAATTTGTGCGTTTATTATTACTGTTATTATTATTATTATTTGGGGGGGCATATATATTAAAACGAGGTTCTTGGGAGAGGGCTGTCTTTTAGGGGGAGGAGGGAAGAGGAGTCTCCTTTATTTTTGCAATGCTGAAATGTCAAGGGAGACTTGCTGGTTGCATTTAAAACAAAATGTTTTGCAACCAGATTCGAGCCCGGTCTCGGCGAGATCCTTTTGACCACTTGACATTTATTTTCTTCGTTAAGCTCGTCATGGCCACGGTTTATTTTGCATCCCCTTCCTGCCTTTAGGTGAGGTGCTTGTTAAAACCTCCATACTTCCAGACCCTAATTTGTCCAGGAGGCAGTTTGCCCCCGGGAGCCCCTGTATAATTACAAGGGTTGTTTTTGAGGAGGGGAGAGAGTGGGAAGGAGGAGAAGCTGGTAGCTCCCACCCGAGAGCATTTGCAGTTGAGTGTTAGGGAGAAGGCGGATAGCTTTGCTGTCTCTCCCTGGGCTACCCCGAGGAAGCTGTGACCAGGGGGACGGGTGGCAGCTGGGCCTGGGGGTGATGGGGGCTTGGTGTGACATCCTTCCATTCTGCATTGGTTCACTGTCTCGCCCTTGCTCAGAGCAGCTGGGAAAAGCCAGCTGACGCTGGCTGAGTCCTGGGAAGAGAACGGGGGCAGGAGGCCAGGCTGCTAAGCAAGTCTACCTGCCTTCTGGGACCCTGAGAGCCTGGGCATTGTTGAGGGCTCTAAGCAAGGAGAGTGGTCCAAACAGCACTCAGAAAAGCAGCTGGCCTTTTCTGTCTGGGCTGTGTCACCCCAGAGGTGGCAAGGCAGGGAAGCAGGAGGTGCAGCCTGGCCTGGGGAATGTGACTAGCCGGGAACCGTGGGATGCAGGGATGTAGGGGCCCTGGTTGCACAGGGACCCTGGAGCCCTGGCCAGCAGAGCAGGTGCCTCAGCCCCTACAGGCACTCACACGTGAGATTTCAGATGGAAAGGACACCATCTAAAATGTGGCCTATCGTTTTCAGGTGGGTGGCAGCTTTGGGCCTATGGGGCAGCTGCTTAAGGTTCTTTGGGGATGATGCAACTTAGAATCACCGGTGGCCTAGGAGAGCAGAAAAGCACAAAACCAGTACCCATGATCTTGTTGTGTGTGGGGTGGCGGTGGGGGTGAGGGGAAGGGCTCCGCAATGAGTTAGTCACCTCTACAGACACCGGTACAGAGGAAGAGTGAGGAAGCTAAGAGACTGGGAGAGAGCTGGAGAGGAAAACCTGGGCTTCTGGCTTGTTTCAAAATGTTTGACCCAGATGAATGTGGCTTTTCAAAACAAGAGGACAGACACAGACACCAATAAAAACAAACACAAATAAAACAACATAGGGGAGGTGGTCAAAGGTAAGGGAGGCAGCCGCTGGCCAGGCAGAGGGAAGGGCCTTGGACCAGCCACACCAGGCAGGGGCAGGCAGAAGGGAATGTATACTGAAGTGCATGGAAAAGCTCTAAGGCTTTTCTGATGAAACGAGGAGGCAAAATTGAGTGGTCAATTGTAGAGCCCTGAAGAAGCCAACTTCCCAGCAACACGCCAACAGGTTCCCAAGGAAGATTAGTAATTTTCTGTACGCATTCAGACTCTGCACGACAGCCAGAGACCCAAGATTCACCGCAGAACTTAGGCTGGCTGTATCAATTCCATGCTAGCCTCTTCAAATTGGGTTTTGTGGTTGTTGCATGTTTCAAAGGTGGCTATGTTCCCAATTATCTGAACCCTAGGGTACAGTATGTCAGTCCACTTATCTTACTAAACCGTATCTCTGATAAATTTCATAGGACATGGACCCTCTTCCTTTCTTTTTTCTTTTTTTCTTTTTGGTAGTCGGGTAGGGGCAGTGAGGTTTGTCTGCCGTTTTCGCATAAGGGAATCCCGTGTCATTAGAAGTGTGATGTGTCAGTGGCTCAGGTTCCATGGGAGAATAAAAATGTGTTCGTCAAAGGTGTTATGCCAGGTTGATTTTATTCATTTGTAATTCACACCTGAGAGAAAAGAGCCACGAGCAAATTTTAACAACCCCTCATATTTTAAAGGATATCCCCCCCCCCCCCCCCAATTGGAAGGTTTTTGTATATCCGCCCGTTTCTTGTTTGGAAGGGGGAAGTCTGTTATCTGCCTGAGCCCTGGCTTTGGCAAATTTTGTCTGGTCTTCTGGATGCTTCGTAACAGAAAAACAAATCGGCTTTCCATTTTTGGGGGTGAATGCAGTTGCTCCCGGAGAGCTGGCCTTAGGGACTTGGAAAGGTTCGGATTGGATGGCTAGATGCACTTCTAAGCTTACCCCAGAAGGACCCAGCAGGGCCCCGTTGGACAAAGTAGCTCAACTTTCGGTGCAGTGATAGTAACTAGAACTATATCTCAGGTGATTTCACTCATGTAAAACAGTCTGGTCACAGACTCCAGTTCCTACAGCAGCAAAGCAGGTTTTGACCGCCTAATCAGACTCTGACTCCTGATCGCTCCTCCCTGCCTTTATGCATCCATTTTGAACCTCCTACCTCCATCACCTTGCACTCGCAGTTGCTTGTTGAGATAAAATACTTTCCAAAGTAAACTTTCAGTGGAATTGGCTTTTGGTGCCTGGTAGAAAGCTTGATGCTCCAAGCTTCTCCTGGCGCCTATCGTCAGCTAGGGGGCGCTCTGTGCCCGTGTCATGGCTGCGGTGCCTCTGCCGCTATGCCTGGGAACCCGCGTCCATCAGCGGCGTTGGCCTCAGCAGCAACAGCGGCGGCTGCAGTTCGTGTCGCAGCAAAATGTCTTAAGCGTGAAGTTGTAATATTGATTTTCCTGCAGAGATTCGCGCAGGACAAAATGAGAATATAAGTTTGAGGAATCTATTTTCAAGCTATTGCCATCGATTTGTAAGCCCTTACCTGGCAGGTGGGGAGGCTTTTTCTTTTCCTTCAATTTCCTTTTCTTTTTAAACAATTAAAATTATCCCTGAATGAGTGTCTCTTTCTCCCCTGATCTGTCCATGGTCTTGACATTCTGAACATTTTGTTCTGTTGGTAAGGCATTCAAAATCCTTCCAGGGAGTCTGATTTTAGGGGTGGTCCATCTTGGTGCACGTTACCTTGCGGGAGGAGGTGGTGGTGGTGGTGGGGATCACTGTGAATTGCTACTTAAGAGAGTCATGGGCCCAAGACAGCTTGATGGATGGAAATCCTTTCAGCTCCGATTTGATAGCACTCTCAACCCTGTCTATTCCATAGTGAGCCCACAGAACTAAGCGGAGCAGGGACTCTCTCCCTAACGCTATAACATTGCTCAAACAATGTGGGCAATTTTGTTTGCAAGGAAAGTGTGCTTTCTGGGGCCAGCAGCAGCTAGCCTACCTTTCAGCCCAGACGGTGGCATGTCATGAGGCTATATTGCTTCCCAAACATGTGATGTCGTGCTTGGGAGTATGTGTGTGTTGCTTGTGGGGTTTCTAGATCTGCTTTAGAGTTCAAGAAATCTGCAGCCAGCACAGTGAGCAGGAGCCCTATGCTGCGAGTTGAGTG